CATGTACCGGTATGTTAAACACAAGATGACGAGAGAGCCAGCTAGAAAGAGGGTTTTGATCTAATGGTGATCAAAACTCAACTCTTCTCCAGAAAGCCAGAACATGTAATATTTATACAGAAGGATACAAGTAATATGAGAAGAGAAGAGAGAGCCAGCTAGAAAGAGGGTCTTGATCTAATGGTGATCAAAACTCAAGTCTGCTCCAGAAAGCCAGAACATGTAATATTTATACAGAAGGATACAAGTAATATGAGAATAGGATCCTGTCAAAGGGACAAAAACATGATGAGGGATGGTTGCCAAAACAATAAACAACCTGGTAGTTTAAAAAATAATATTGCTAGTGACATTCGTTTGTCTCGCAATGTATGGTCAACAAGGGATCTAAAAGATCACAACGTTTCGTGTGCCACTGCTCCACTTCGTCAGGTGATAAAATATATTTTGTAAGCAAGCGTCTTTTGTATTAAGCATTAACTTGGTAGTGTTATGTATCGGGGGTTGTCTTTCCAGCTGGGAAGTAAATTATGAATGCACTTGGTCTTTCAATGGGGAAGGATTATAAAGAAATAAATGGGGCTTTTAAGCGCATCTCAAATTGGGCGTCATGTCAAGATATATGAAATATGAGGGTACTTTATTATTAACTGGGTTTCGGACAATACTGCTCGACAATATGCACGTACCTGCTTCCATAGAGATTAAAGGGAAATCCAACCTTGATACTGATAGCAAACTATTCTAGAGGCCTGTTTTCATCAGCTCAAGATTGCCAAAAAGCCTGCTGATTGCCAAATAGCCTGCTACTTATGATTTGGGGAAGAATCCCGAAGTTACAAATTGCGTCTTCATCAGCTTGAAACTTGATCTCGAAAATTGAAACTCAAGCTCGAGAAATTAGCTCGAGATGTTTTGCTCAGCGTTTGCGCATTGTGCGAGTTATTGGTCTGGTGAGGACGCACCAGACAAATAGCAAGATATTTTGCAAACTAGCCCAAGATATCTTGGGATGATTATCTCAACCAAATAATTGCAACTTCAGGCTGATGAAGACGCAAATTAACTGGATAAATTGCGAACTGGATAAATTGCGATCGGATAGTTCAAATGGCGGGATATTTGGCATTCTCGTGCTGATGAAAACAGGCCTTAGAAGCAAGCAAAACACACAGAGAAGGATATAATACTGGTGAAAGTTTGAATGAAAGCAACAACAACAAAAAAGAAGATAAAGCTGTATGAATTATTAAAGTTGAAATCAAAAGAGTTATGGGCTCTCCAAATTTGCTGAATCGGTATTGCCACCGATTTTAGTAGCGAACAACTTTCCTATTTCTTACACCACACAAAATAATTAAAATGTCAATTTGTCAAAAGTGGAGTACTCAGGAGAATTTAATCGCCTATTTCTCTTCTTTTCATCGGCTATTTAATCGCCTTTTTCTCCTCTGTTGCTTTCTAACTGGCCGTTTCATCGGATGCGTCCGGATGCATCCGATGAAAATCAGTGCAGGGTATTAACGGGAAATTCAACCCAAATAAACAACTGCCGTACTCTAAAAGAAAGCAGAAAATCAAAGAAGCAAACTGTTGAAAGTTTCAAGTAAATCTGTATACAAAAGAGATGGTCAGAAGGGCACTTACATGTACACTGCAACAACGGTACAGCAGCCCTACAAGAATATTAAAGGTAAAGACCAGTTTTGGAAACGCCCCCCTCTCAAAAAATGAAATGGAAGCTCTTATTACCAATCATGTGAAAGAATATGTTCTGACTAATACGTGATCATACTAATTTTGGAGAGAAACCACCTACTAATTGATATATTTGGTAAAATATATCTATTTGGACCTGATAGATATAACGCACGTGTTGCGTAGTCCCATATACATCTTTCTTTGTACAGTACTTGTAACTTTACCAAGACTGGGCCAAATTTCTTATAATTTTGATGATTCCAGAACCTTGCAGTACGCACCAGTACTTACATGCTAGATGACCAACCTTTTCTGATCGATTCTACACTGTTTCTGTCACAATGCAATCGCATGACCATAACTGGTCTTTATCTTTAAAATAGTGGGTTATTTTGGTACTACGGTCTGATGAAGGCAGGCCTTTAGGGACATGGAGAGTCAAGCACCCTGAACTGTGGATATCCATGCCTGCCAAAGCACAGTAAATTGGATTTCCTCGTGATTAGACTCTTCATGTAGTTTACAGGTTCGGAAACCTTGTCAATGGTTGTTGTGTGCATCAGTGTCTGCAATACGAGACTACAATAAGCTCTGTACTTTAAAGAGAAGGTTGAGTTCTGGGAAGAGGTGAACAATAATTTGTGAGCACTATCATTCTTATTATGCAAGTGTTGAAGAACATCAGGTAAGACATGTTCCCTGAAAAGCATGGCTCTTCAAATGCCTTCATATTCTAAATATGTCATGTAACATCGTAAAAATCTAGGGTAGGATTTTTACGCCACGTGTTCGTGTAGTCCCATATACATCTTTCTGTGTACAGTGTTTTTAACTTTACCAAGACTTGGCCAAATTTCTTATCATTTTGATGATTCCAGAACCTTGCAATACACACAAATTCTTATATGCTAGATGATCGACCTTTTCTGGTCGATTCCACACCGTTTCTTTCACAATGCAATCGCATGACAAGAACTCGACTTCATCTTTAAGCTACTGTTTGTCATGACCAGAAACTGGCAGATCTACATGTAGGCTCAGATCAAGGCTTGAGGAATTGTGTCATAGTGTCCAATTGGAGTCTGTACCTTAAGACTAGGTAATCTGAACGATACAGGGCATGATGATTCAACAGGAAGCGCCCCTCTTTCCAAGCAAGATGTACGTTTAATACTGATTTACACCATGTACATGTATGTACATGAACAAGCAGAGTACTTCAAATATAGTGTACATGCTGGTACGAACGTATGACACATACGGTCAACACTTTTGGGGCAGGATTTTTTAAGGGCTAAATTGATCACACCTTGTTCTTTAAATTGGCAACAAATATATAATACTACATTGTTAATATAAGAAAATACATGTATAATACCTCTGAAAGCAAATACATGGGTTGAAACGTAGTCGGAAAGTTGAACAAAATGCTAATTTTGATCATTAGAAAAAAACAATGATTTTGAACGTCTTGATGTGTTACCAATTCAAGGATTTCAAAGCTTGTTTTCCTTTTTAAAACTCCTAGCATCAAATGCAATATGTTCATGCACGAGAAATGGATGTAGTTTGCATACATGTACACTGTACAGACTACTGCAGAGCAGGTTGAAGGTCGAGGGTTGAGTTTTAGGAAACATTAAACATAATTTGTGAGCTTTTTTTTATTCTTTTAATGTTATTAAGCACTGGCATACTGGTGGCTTGGGGGTTGCTGCACCCCCCCCCCCCCAAAGTTCAACGACCCAAACAAAAAAAATGATAATCAAATTTATTTTAATTAAAATGATGAGAAAAGGGGGAGAAAAATGTAAGGTACAAGAAAGAGGAAGGAAATGAAATTTATACTTTCCACACTTTCAGTCTGTCTGACATGTCATCCCCAGAATATTGGTTTCGACAGGCGCGGGGCTAGGGTACAATTAACTATGCGTAAGCTTTCGTCCTTGAAGCCTAATTTGCATAAAGTAAACAACTTGTTTACGCTACACCGCAGCACCGCTACACAAGAGTCTCGGCTAAACTGTAAAATCTCGCTTTAGAAACCACCAAATGAAATGATTGGAATATGTCACATGAAAGAAGAAGAGTTGTTCTAACTCATGAATATTGCAATTGTGCCATTTTGTATTTGTTTCTATCTGAAAATATTGCCGGTTTTTTCATATTTTCCGTCACTGCTCAAGATCGATACTTTCATAAATGATAAATCGAAGTATATTAAAGCTCTCCTCCAAATATCTTTTCATAATTTTAGGTACCATGGTTATGTCAGGAAAAAAAAGCTTGGCGAAACATTCACGGCAGCATAAGTGTAGTCCCATCTAAAGGGGTATGGGCAGGAGAGGGTAGTCCCATGTACAGTTATACGTGCAGGACTTTTTGCGCGGGACTCGGGTGTGTATGGAGCATCAATGGTTCGGTCTTTGTACAGAGTAAAACATGCTGATGTTTAATCGAAATCGAGCAAAATGACTTTCAAATAAATTGGTATGGGTTCTGTGAAATTATGGTGGAGTCGCTGCAACTCAGTAACTCAATCAAGTTTACTGGACTGCAGCAGCCACAGAGTAAAAACAGCTGATCAATGATGCATTTTTTATTATGGTATGCACGCACGGCCGGTGATGCGAACAGCAAATGCGTCCAAGGACAAGGTTTAGTGCTGGACTGGAATTTGAACCCTCAATCCTTGGAAATCGAGAGTCAAATGGACTGACTACTATTCCATAACACCTCCACCCAAGAATAAAACTAGCAAAAAAACATATTTGTTATTATATCATGCATCACAAATTTATTGGCTTCTGATTGGTTGAGAGCTTGTCACGTGACCAGAAATATGTCATAAATTTTAAAGTTGCTCTGAAAAAGTACAATATACATGTAAGAGTAATATTTGGGAGTACTATTTGGAAGTTGAAAAAAAATTGTGAATTATTTTTTTGATTTTTTTTTTCTTCTTCAAATCTTAATTTAATGAAAACAAAATATATTTTAAGTCTTTTTTTGATAAAAATTGACATTATTTTTAATCTCTAAATTTGATTTTGTTTTTCTTGCAGGATATAAAACAAATATACCACGCCTTCTATTCGAGGTACTGGTTAGAATTATGGGCCTCGGTGTCTCCAAAAGTACCATTTGCTTCGGGGCTGCGCCCCACAGCAAATAGTACTATTGGAGTCACCTCTTGCGCATAGTTTTAACCAGAACCTCTATTATTATTACTATTGTTATTGTTGTTGTTATTATTATTAATATTATCATCATTATAATCATTGTTATTTGCATTACAGGCCTGGAAATGTTGATGTAGGCCAGATCTGGAGACATTTTAGTCAGAAAACACAAGAGGTGAGTACCCTTATTCCCAACTTCTCATTGAATAATGATACAACAATAATTCTGTACTCTATGGCAAATCTGCCTGAAAAAAAGGCATGCCGGTACTTGGTACACAATTAAAGGAAACCTATAACCCCCCCCCCCCAATAATTGTTGGTACATGTATGCTGAAAAGTGAGACGTGTTCCTGCACTTTGTACAATATTCCTTATGAATGTATATAAATGAGGATATTCTTAACATGTAGTTTTTAGCTTCTATCAACCTTAAATTTGTTATGCAAGCTTTCGTCCACTCCTGTGGACTTTCTCAAGCTAAGTGATCAGTCTGAGCAAGGAGTTACTACACTAGGAGTGCACACTCTGCCCTTAGGGCTTTTCTTATCACTCAGAGCGGGATTATGAGGGATTAGGGGTCCAACGAAAAACAAAATGACCTCTTACGCAACGAGGTCACCCTGGTCTCGATCTCCGGACTTTTATGTCCCATGCGCGATGCCGCACTGAACTGGCCCTCTCTAGGAGGAAACATCGACAGTCCAGTCTTGATATATAGGTGGTTTATATAGACTAGCTCTATACACATGTCTATAGCTTCATCACATGCGACACACACTCTGATGTCGTGATAGTCTAAGAATTCAGCTCTCGATAGGTACAAAGATCTCGAAAATCGGCCAACGACAAGGTGAGTTTTTACCTGATTATTGTTGAAAAATGTCCTTATTTTGTTCTATTTATATTCATATTTCAATGTAATATTAGTTGTAGACTCAGACTACCCCAGATGAAAATCATTTTTTTGGCAGACAAATGAGATTTCCTTCTTTATTTTGATGTATGACTCCACCGTTCTTGGCCGTTCTTGTTATTGTGATGACCTATTGGAAACATGTTAACATCTGCTGTGTCACTATTTTTCTATTGTCCCACTAATATATATCGGTGTGTGGTTTCAGTTCACCTGGCGGTATTATTGTGCGTGTTGGACGAGTTGAGGAACTATAGCTGCTAGCTGGGCCGGGCCGGGAGGGCATGAATGAGTTGACATAATCGCTAAGCTTGGCGGATAGTTAGGATTATATTTAATGATTATTATTAAACAACCGTTCTAATACAAATTCATTGTGATGTTTAGACTCTAACAGTTAGTGATGTCTATTGATTGTCTTTTGACTTTTGTGGTGATTAAATAATGATGTTGATTGTGTTGTCTAATATGCAATTAGACTAGATCTAGATCTAGATCTAGGTCTATTCTAATGATAATTGATCCAATTACTGGGGTAATAGTATATTTGTAAAGCACTTAGAGACATTTGTATTAGATCTAAGCGCTTTATAAAAATTAAATATTAGTATTATTATTATTATTACTGGTAATGTCAGGGAGCACCTCCCTGCACATTATCGATGATAATGCCTTAGATGTTTACATTTATGTTTACAATTGAAAGGTGGGGGGGGGGGGGGGGGGGGGTTAAGAGCACATATTTTATTTTTGTCCAGTTTTTGAGGGAAAATTTCGCAACCACTTACCAAGCCACTGAATAAGGAGGGGGGGGGGGGGTGGGTAAGAGCACATATTTTTGAGGGAAAATTTCGCAACGACTCAGCCGCTGAATAAGCGGGGGGGGGGGGGGGGGAGAGCACATATTTTATTTTTTGTCCAGTTTTTGAGGGAAAATTTTGCAACCACTTACCCAGCCACTGAATAAGGAGGGGGAGGGGGGGGGGGGGGGGGGAAGAGCACATATTTTTTTATTTGGGTGGACGGGAAGTTTTTCCATAATCCGGGAGATTCTACATCTTTGGCGGGAGAGGTGGAGTCTCCCGGTATAGCTTTTGGGGCGGTGGGAGAATGAGCGTGGTGGCGTCAGACTCCCTCCAAATGCAGCAGCCCTGATTTTATGATGATTGTTATTTTTTTCTTCTGAATATTGGTATTGGTACTGTTTTTTATAATTACTAGTATGAGCAGTATTGGTAGTTTCATTGATTATCATTATATTAATTAGTCATGTTATTATTATATAATAATTACCATTGTTATTATTATTTAAAGTATTATGATTATTATTATTATTATTATTATTATAATTATAAGTGTTCCATTCTTTTCACCTTCTATAGTCACATCATTATTTCACCATAACTAGTAATTTTAGTATTTTGTTATATTTTTGGTGGTACTGGCAATATCATTGAGGTATAAGTGATATACCTCCATGATAATTTTTATCATATTTATTATTACTACATGTTTAAGTGTAGAAATTTTGAGACATACATGTATTTACAAGTATTGTTTGTGTGCTTTTTTCCAATCAGAAAATAACAATGGAAGAGGAGATCCACCAGGGGATTCTAATGGGCATGTGTCGCCTCTGTGGAGAAACAGGATCAAGGAGGTATCGTGACAAGCAAAACCTTTCTAAATTGATCCAAACGGGTCTGTCCATAAACATTGCTGTAGATGAGGACAATCGTCACCCACCCATGGTGTGTGATAGCTGCACATCAAAACTGAGAAGGTGGAGAGCCTTTAAGAACAAGAATGTAAAGAAGGAACTGAACATAACCATCTTTGATTTCCAACAGCACGGTCAAGATTGTGCCATGTGTACACATTCAAAGAAGAATGTTACAGAAGGATCATGGCTAACTTTCATGATAGGTTTGGCAGAGCAAAAAGGATACAATGTCAAAAAAGGTCGTGATGGAAGAACACTTATCATGTCTGTTGATGATGATGGGAACACATCAGTATGTGTGATTGTTCGTGAAACTGGACAGTGGACAGTTAAAGTGCATGGGAGAGAAGTTAAAAGTGATCTGTTTCCTGAAATCCCTCAGTGTTTTGGTAGCAAAGATGATTGTGAGCGATTTCTTCACACCCTTGATTCTCTCCAAATATGTCATGGTAACCCTGAGTACTTCTTGCCTTCCCATCTGCTTCAAAATCATCCATTATACCTCCACTACTCCTCATCCACAACAACAATTAGACACACAACCTGTCCCCTCCTCACGAAGGATTCTTCAAGATGCCTTCAATGCAGAATGCATCGTTCCAGTCTTGCAAAACTCCACCAACGCCACCAAGTTGACTCCTCTCCAGCTCCAAAAGCAAATCATCGCTTCATGTCACAAAAGAGGCTTGCTAAAAAGCTTCAAACCTCCAAAAAACAACGACGATTCATGGCAAGAAAAATTGTAAAATTAGAGAACGACATTGAAAAATTGTTTAAAGAACAAGCCTTACCTTTAGACAATGAGGAGAGTCAGTCATTTGCTTCAATTTTTACTGAAGAATCTCATGTAGTGCATCAACAGTTTAAAGAAGGCAGTCGAATGAGGATTTTATGGGATGAGCAACTCAAGTCCATTGAAAACCATCCAAATGCTATGAGATGGCATCCAGCTATTTTGCGTCTGTGCATCGCCCTCCAAGCAAAGTCTGCAGCATCGTATGACCTCTTAAGAAATTCTGGTTTTCTCACTCTCCCCCACCAACGGACACTCAAACAATATACAAACTTTACCTCCAACAAACCCGGCTACAACAAAGACCGTCTGCATAGAATAATTTCTGACATTAATCTTGATAAATTAGCAAGCCACAAAAGAAATATTGTTTTGTCTTTCGACGAAATGAAAGTTAGTGAAGGACTTGTATATTCACATTCAACTGGCAACATAATTGGATTTACTAGCCTGGGTAGTTTATCCGATGAGTTTGAACTTTACACAAGGATGTGTAAGGGAAAGAAGCAAGAACTGGCCAGTCATGTTCTGACTCTCATGATCAGAGCTATCTCAGACTCGTACAAGGCACCGATAGCATATTTTGCCACATCTAGCTGCACAAGTGACCAACTCTTTTGCATTGTACACGAAGCCATTGAGCTTCTTGAACTTTCGGGTTTCCACGTACGGGCTCTCGTTTCAGATGGAGCATCCCAGAATAGAAAATTCTATGATATGCTGCGAGAAGACCCCAGACATCCATCATTCCTGAATCCTTTCAGTGGACGCCCCATTTATCTGTTCAGCGATGTCCCTCACCTGCTTAAAACATGCCGAAACAATCTTGAGAAATCTGGATACCACAACAGTACCCGAAACATGATGGTAATTTTTTAAAATGTTTATTTACCATCAACAATCCTGAAAGCTTTAAGGTGAAAAATAAATTTGTAGATAAAAATTAGAATATAAGAAATGACATGTATGATACTTGACAGACGAATTTAATGCCTTTATCTTTCACTTTATTAAAGTACACAGCTTCTACATCAATCATTTGGATACATGATTGATATGAACATGTACCAAAGAAAATGACATTAAATAAATAATAAGAAAAGGAATTAGATGTCATCATGTGTGGGCAATATTAAATGGTTTGACATTTTTGTACTTTATCACCTAATGTATGTGCACTGTTTTATAGAATTGGTTACATGATTGCATTGACCTAATTAATATAATTAATTATGAAACAAATACATCTATTTCTATTTCAATTATAACTATCAAAAGTTCCAAACTGTCCATAATATGCATTGTATAAACATAGGCATTATAAATTTGTTTATTTTACATTTCTTTCCCAAAGGAATTTTAATTTTGATGTTTTTATTTCAATTTTCTTTATTTAGTTCAGAGGATTGAGTGTATCCTGGAAGCACATAGTTGATGTGTACAACTGGGACCTCCAGCAGTGTACTGGCTTGAGGATGCTTCATCGCATCACAGAAGAACACATACATCTCACTCCGAGTCATCGAATGAAGGTCAAATTGGCTGCTCAGGTAAATTTGGATTGCTATGAGCTTGCAGATGAAATTTTGTTTTAAAATGCATCAGAATACATTTTTCAAAACTTGGATTTTGGGGCTGTTTTAAATAGGCCTCATGATTTTTAAAGATAACCTAAATGTATGCTCCCATAGTATAAAATGGAGATCATTAGTTGATATTTTTTTTACTTTGAATCTCTCCCTATATTTCAATGATGAAATACAGGTCCTCAGTTCAACAATGGTGAATGCTTTGACAATCCAAGGACGTCCAGAGACTGCCAGCACTGCCTTGTACATCAACTACATCGATACTTTCTTTGACTGCATGAATGTGTCGCAGTTCAACAGTGGGAAACGGCAGAAGAAACTTGCACTTCATCCATATACGGATGTATCAGACTGGAGACTTACAGTAAGTTCACTCACAGGACTCGCTTACATTGAAGCCAGTCCATAGATCAGGATATATGGCAACCTATTTCTTGTTTAAAAATTTATTATTATAATATATTTTTGTTGGTGGGGGGGGGGGGGGAGGGGGTCGAGGTGCTACAATAGGTAGAACCACGGAGGTATAACCGGAGTACGTTCATTGTAAAACTCATGTCATATTATTATAAATCATTTGAGTTTGCCATAAAAGAACATCTCTATCTTTTCCTCATAATTTTGTTTGCATGCAATTGGGGGAAAATCAATAAAGTAAAAAAATTTGCAAGTTGTCATAGGGCAAGGATGAATAGGATGTATGTTTGCTTCCTTTGCCACTTTTCTGTGCTTTTAATCATGAATTTTATCTGTCATTTATTTGCAGTGGTTAGAGGAGGACTTCCTGTCATTCTTGGAAGAATGGGAGACAGAGGGCAAATTAACTCCCCTCACTAATGCTGAGAAGGAGAAACTTTGCTTGAGCAAGCAAACGCTGGAAGGATTGAAATTCACAGGTACAGGGTGTACATGTACATGTTTTGTACTTTTCTCTTCATGCTTGTATTAGTTTTTTGTATTGTTTTGTGTTATTGTTGTTGCTCTTGTATTATTTAGTAATTTGTTTTTAAATTTTCATTTAACGTTCCTAATTCATCAGGGAGCTTCTTTATATAATCTTTAGCCCGTCAATTCTGTTTTCCTAAATGATACATGACATAACATTGTGAATTAATATAAAATGTGTTTAGCTCATTTCAACTTAAAATAATGAATCATCTAGCAAACGATCTTTCCCCTCAAAAATTTTGTTTTTGAAATATTTAATTAAACTTTGTGATAGTGTTCTCTTTTTAAAGTCTTGTTTTGTTATCCTTTTCAGTCAAAGCATTTGTTCTGCTCACAAGAGAACTACTTATGGAACCTGGTGTCAAATTCATACTTAGTGAGAAGTTTTCACAAGATCCCCTGGAGGAGCATTTCTCAAAGCAAAGAGGCATGGGAGGGAGATACGACAATCCAACTGTAAATCAGTTTGGATATAATCTCAACACACTGCAGGTTGCCGGGGCTGCCATCAAAGCGTCAAAACGATCTAATGTCACTCAGTCAGAGTCATCTCCATCCTCTTCCTGTGACTCAACACTGTTACCAAGAACAAAAAAACGACTCTGGAAAGATGTGCAGTAGGACATAGTAGGGAACTACGTGATAGTGTGTAATCATGTTTGATTAATGACTCGAGTTAACCGTCAAAAAACCAGTTGTAATATGCTATGCCAAGCACAATATCTGGAGCAGATTTTATTTAGTTGGTCAATATTTGTGACATTGACAGAGGACAAAAACCCTAAATTGTTAATTGCATAGTGACTGTTCATGCAATTCAGTGATTAAATATAGGGTTCTTATTTTTGTATCTTTGCCAAACTAAACAAAAACGTTTTTGCAGTATCATTTGCACCTTCAACGTTAAAATTTCATGAGAGCATACATGTTCATGTAGTTTTGTTTAAGACTTAAGTGTGGACAGTCAGGCATGAAAATATCTCTTCTGTAGAACATGTAGACGAAATGGTGTCAACATGTGAACCAAAATTTGAGGTTTTCAGAAATATGTAGCCAAGATGAAAGATTTCTGTATTTTACTTTTGATATCTCAAAAACAAGATAATAGAATTTGATTATGGACATCATTGATTTCTTTTGGTTAATATTTTTGATGTTCACTAATTGCATCACCTTTTATCCCTCTTTATGCATACACATTCCGTGAAACCTCACATTTAGATGTTACTTTATTTTGATGACTGCCCTGATCATTCTCTTATAAGTATACTCCCTCTCTTTGTCAACTTGTTAAGTAATGATAGGCAACAACACATAGTACATGTAAGAATCGTATGCTTATGTGAATCATTACAAACAATTTTATTTTTTCATCACTACACATACATATACATTGTATGTGGTCAAAGATTACATTTGTACAGTAAATATGTTTTTATTCGACACAAATGGTACTTTTGGAATAGTGGTCTTTGAATAAACGTTTTGACTACAACTGTATATGGTCAATTTACTTTACATGAAATAATGAATGTGGTGCCGGCTTTTCCATGAAAACGTGTTTATCAAGCCAAGAAAGCAAATAATTCATATTTCGTTTACACCTGTACCTCTTAAAATACAGTTTTTATCATGGTGATTTGTGCTACAGTAATGACAGCAACAAACAAGAAAAGAGAAGAAAAAAATTATACTATTAAGTTGGATACAGAATTTGCATTGCATCATCAGTATTGTTAAACAGCATATTTATGAGTTCATGTTCTATGCTTTATTCAAACAAAACAGTCAAGATTTCTAATAGAAATACTCCTAGTTTCCTTGAAAAACTGTGTTTGCCAAAAGAACGTTTTCGTCTCATTTCAGAATGAGCTTTATAACAACTGTAACTTCAGAATCATAAGTTGCAAAGCTAATTTTGTTGAATATTGTAAGTGATTCTGACCAAACAAATTATGGGTTTGTTTCAGAGCCAACTGTGATTTAAAGATAATCAACAATGGAAATTGATGTATTTCTTTACCCTTCCAAAATCCTTCAGTACAATTAAATACATGTGCATGTATGTTAGATGCAAAATTTGTTTTTTCATTTGTTTTTATTTTCAAGAATGACAAGAACCTTTACAGTAAACATGTATATCCAACAACAAAGAATTTACCAGTATTCCATCTGTAAACTGAGAAAGTAGAATTTGAACTGGTTTTGAGATGCATTTAACTGCCCATTTCAAAGCCTATAAGTTGTCAAAACTACCCCAAACTCCCCAAGGCACACAAATTACACAAATTACACAATTTAGATTCAGAATTTAAATGTACTACCTGCATACAATGAGGAAAGAACTGTATTAATGTTTGTCTTGACTCAGAAGTTGTAAAACTATGTAAACGTTTGACATGGATTGTAAAAACAAAGGAAAACAAGAGGAACATTTAATTTGATCATGGCCTACTGACCTTAGCTTTTTTCACCTATCAATTGCTTAGTAGATCCACTCTAAAAGAAAACTGAAAGTTTTAAAGGGATCGTTTAACAATGCTAAATCTGAGATACACGGTGATACATGTTACCAGTGTCTGTTATATGGTGTAATATTGAAGCCCTAAAAAAATCGCGCTTCAAAATGATCAGGTAGTGCCTCAAAAAAAGTAAAAATCTTTGAGTGACCGGTTTTACCATACTCATTATCCCCAATAGACTGTAGTGTTATGAAAACCGTTCGGCGAACGGTTTTCAAAATTTGTAATTCCAATCATAAATATCTTGATAATCAGACAGGCGATCGGCTTGCAAAAGTCATGGAGTTCCTGACTGACCTAAAGGTTTATAATTATCATTGCAGCATGAGCTAAATCAAGGATTATTTATAAAGGATCTAAGACAAAGTTACCGGATCCCTTTAAGTAGAATTAAACAACTGAAAGTAAATTGATAACAACTGAGCTGGCTGGTTCTAGATAGTGTCAGTGCCAATATTGTGTTTATCTTTGCTGGCACAAGACAGATAGGTTCATGTTAATGTTCACTTTTTCTGCTGCTTTTTCAGTTCTCTCCTCAGTCCCTTTTTTTTTCCAGTTGCGATTTTTGCTTCCCTCTTGAGTGAACTGACATACAACTTCACATACGATGATATTCTGATCTTCACCCAATAGTTTACAATCGAAGAAAAGAGAGGTTCCGACAAATTCGTGTCTAGACTGCCTGCCACCTTGCACCACATGTTCTGTACATGTACGCTTCCAAAAATGTGCTTCAACAATCTGTCTTTCAAACTTTCTGTCTCACTATTTCCAAGAGTGAGCAGCTTCCTTGTCACCAGCTCCAAAGATCTGAACAATTTGTAGACAGTGTCTGACACAACAAACAGCCCCCCTCTGTTCTGGAAAGTCAACCAAACTGATGTGTACTGTAGGAAAGTGTCGGACTCTGTGTTGTCATCGTCGTCCTTCTTCCACTCACGCAGAAATGCCGTTATTGCAAGTGCACTCTGTGACTTCATCCGGCCAAACTTTTTGCAGAGGGCGTACGGTATGTACCCGGCTACATACCGTAAAACTTGTTCATCGTGAACTGACAACGGACTTGTCTCCTCCTCCGGTTCAAACCCATCGCCCCTGATAATTTTCATCAGCTTCTCAAGGACAACACGGAGAACATACTGCTGGAGAAAACGAAAGGGAATGGACGGCTCCTCCATAGAAAGCATTGCCAGGCATAATTGAGTCGCTCGACTTCCACACTTGTAAGTCTGGAATTTGGTCAGGATGAAGGTATTGGCCACCGGTCCTGCTGCCTTGTCCTCTGCAGCACTGATTATTTCAACAATGTCCTGCACTATGTCCCGCACAGATCCTTCAACAATTTCCGAATGAAAATTTATCTCGTCTGCTAGGGCGATGACTTTGCGCCCAACTTCTGTTTCTTGGTAGAATTCGTTGGACTTCAGCTGGAGAACAGCTTCCTTGAAAACTAACGCTGACTTGGACTTGACCTCCTCTAGATTCTGAAGAGCACCGAATTCTGTTCATGAAAAAACAAAGAGAAAGAAATCAGGAACCAACACATCATCTGGCATCCATCTAACACAAAAAGTTCTGCCATTACATGTTCATATATAGCACAATTTTCTTCTATTAGAAATTTCCATTAATGCTACCTGTGCATTTTCACATTATCTCCATTCAACTTGAATGAATTATCACACTTCAGAATAATAAATGTTTAGACTTTAGAAATGTAATAACAATTTTGTGTTCTGTGGCAGCAACTTGACTCTACCATTCAAAACTAACAAAATTTAAATATATGCAAAAAACTGAATAAGCATTTTGGGGGCGTGGTATATTTGAATAAACAATTCAAATTTGAGAGAAAAAACTCAGCCCTTTTAGATTAAAAAAAAACAGCATTTAAATTGAAAATGGTCCAATGGACAACTCAACATGGCATGAACTCATTGTACATGTACAGCTGCTATTTCCCATTTGTACCACTATGCAAGTCAGCAGGCGCAGTAAATTTTTTCTTCAGAATAAAATTTCTTACTTGTTTTGGTTTGCCTCCGTTTCTTCCTTGTGTCAGTGGTAGTCTTCCTCGGGAAATCCCCACTGCTGGATGTCGCAGCACTGCCTTCAGATGGTGCACATGTTGCCTCAGTACTTGCATGCACAGCACCTTAAAAGGAAAATGGTGACATTTAAAAAACAATAATTCATTGTATTTAAATGACAAGAAAGTTTAAGATGTTGCTATCAATTCTTTATTATATCTCCATTGGGAGTCGGGCTAACTCGGACCAGGGGACAACTCGGCCCAGGTACAAAAACGGTCAGTTTTTGCATGTTTAGGTTTAGGGTTAGGTTCAGGTTAGGGTTAGGGTTAGGGTTAGAGTTAGGGTAAAATGACCGTTTTTGCAGCTGGGCCGAGTTGTCCCCTGGCCTGACACAGATAACACACACAAAGGTATGTTGCCTTCTTAAATTTTTAGTTGGTTTGCAATTGCTTTTGATCCTAACTTACAGCCACAGGTACATTATAAAATAGTCTAAACCTCTAGATGAAATAAATTATTTTAGCATCGTGATCAGATTTAATTTAGGCCTAGATCTAACTTAGATGCTAGAGAGTAGAGTAGAGTAGACTCTACGTGGCAATAATAAGTTTAGACTGGCATTATATTATTTCCTTGTATTTCTTATAATCACTGGAGGTGACACCTCACTGGTTCTACAATAACACTCTAAACCGAATCTTACTTGATTCTGAAGTAGATTTAGCACCTCCCTTGTCTGTATCTAGTTGACAAAATCCACACAGCCAGTGATCAAGATCGGGATCGACCAGGGATGTGCCGGTGCCTGCACCTGCACTTGTATCGACACTGGCACTGCACGGAAGACTAACACACTCGCGATGGTAGAATCCAACTGGACATTTAGGTCCATTACATGCAATTAAATCAACCGTTGAAGGAAGGCTACATATGCACACAGAAGATAGGCTATCCTCTTCCGATTCTAGAATCAAATCTTCTTCAATGTCCGTAAGAAAATCCATATCATCTTCCAAATAGTAATCGTCACGCGAGAAAGCTGCCATGTTCGGGATGTAAACATATCCTACAATGCACCGCACATGACAGCGGTTCCGGCTGATCAACCGACCTTGCGCATGCGCTGTGTGATGTTATTTACGACCGGTGCGACCAGGCGGCATTAATCCAATTTAGTGGAATCGTCGCTTGGGGAGCGCGGCATACAGGATGGTTCGTTTGACCCTAATCCAGTCCCCACTCCTAGTGTAGTAACTCCTTGGTCTGAGTCACACGTTTGCTTCGCTGCACTGCCTGGTGTCCTGTGATCACTGGACCAAAGATTGGTGACAATAGATACCCAGAGTCCTTGTTGAGTAATGGCTTAATTCTCTTAATCCATATGGACTCTTTCACCTTTCTTGCCCAGAAGTTACTTTCAAAGTCAATTATGAGGGCATCCTCCCATCCAATGTAATGTCCTGTGTTGAGGGCGTGTTCAGCTAATGCTGAATGGGATGGGTTGCTCAATCTGAGGGCTCTTTTGTGTTCTGCGCTCATTAAGAGTTCTGCCAGTTTCCCCAACATATGAATTGTCACAGTCTGTGCATGTGATCTTGTACACAATACCTGTCTTTTCCTCTCTTGGGATTTTGTCTTTTGGGTGGACCAACCTACTTCTTAGTGTGTTAGGGCTTTTGAAGGCAACACTGATGTCTTTGTCTTGGAATGCTTGTTTCAGGCGAGAGGATATAGTGTTGACAAAAGGAAGGAGTACTCTGTTGTTCACTGCTTCTTCCTTTTCCTTTGGGGGGGGGGGGGGTCTTAGTTCTTATTCTGTCCTTCGCTCTTTGTCTCATCCATGCTGGGTATCCACAAGACATAAGCGCATATTCTTGGATACATGTTGCATATTCTTGGCTGCATGTTCAAGCGTTTTAGCATGACATGGGTGCAGCCATTGTTCTTGATAATGTGAAAAACCAGGCACATGTATCATGCACCTAACTTTAGCTGGAAAGACAGTTTGATTCAATATTACAAGACTTTACTTTACTTTTCAATGATGGAAAATCATTACTTACTACATCTAGGTAAATAATATGTAACAGGGGAAAATTGAAACTCTTGTATTAAAAAATACTAAACTATTATAGCAGTTGACAAATTTATTTCATTTCAGAAGAGCAACAACTTGTACTACATTGTAGTACAAAGGATAATAGCCGGTGAATGTAATATGTAATACTTAATGACCAAACACACCTGGGAAGGAAGCATTCTTAAATTTGATTACGGTACATTTACTTGAAAAAGGACTTCTCATAGTACTGTACGTGACGTTGCCAAGAAAATGGCGATGCCCATGTCGTGCTGAGAAACTGTACATTATTCTTGCTCTATACCGCTCTTATACACTTACATGTAAGTGGTGAATCTTGTATGTTGATTGGTAAGAATAACTAATTTGTGCAGACCTACATTATATAGAGAACATCTTGAAAATATAGATCACTAGATATGATAAGCCTACATGTATGCGCCTACATAATTGAACGTATAATAATAATAATAATAATAGGCATTTCTATTGCGCAGTTTAGATCTAGAAATTCTATTCCGAGGCGCATGTATTATTACCCGGCTTTAGCCTAGCTGCCATTATACAGCGCTCCAGCATTTCAAGGAATTAATTTCTACCAGGTACCCATTTACCTCACCTGGGTCGAGTGTGGCAAATGAAGATTAATGCCTTGCCAAAGTACATTGGCCGTTTCGGGATTGAACCCTGACCTTTGAATTTCAAGTCAAGTGCTTAAACCACTCGACTACAACACTTCTAATCATGGCTCTACACTTTCTTTCCATCTACAAATACAACCTGTCCTCCTGAAGAGGAACAAAGACGAGCCAAATACAAAGAGGGAAAATTATACGTGTAATGTAGATGTGAAACCATGGTATTTCCGTTGTTTTTTCCTTTTCTTGGCATGCAGACACCCAGATAAGGAAATGATATCATGCAAGACATATCATTAATTACAATATTTCCTTCAGATGAAGTTTGCATTTATATCATAAAAAAGTAAAATATGACATTTGCAAATTAAAGGTAAAGACGAGTATTGGTAACGCCCCAATTTCAAAAAATGAAATGGAAGCTCTCATTACCAATCATGTGAAAGAATATATTTTGACTAATACATGATGATAAAAAATTTGCCGGGAAACCGCCTACTAATTCATATATTTGGTAAATTTGTTTCTCTCATGGTCTGTGAGAGATATAGGGTAGTCCCATATACATCTTTCTGTGTATAGTGCTTGTAACTTTACAAGGAATGGGCCAAATTTCTTATCATTTTGATGATTCCAGAACCTTTCAGATGCTAGATGCTAGATGATCAACCTTTTCTGATCGATTCCACAACGTTTCTTTCACAATGCAATCGCATGACCATAACTAATCTTTACCTTTAAAGGTACTATGTCCCTTTTGCAGCCAACCTCAAATGCTGTAGAACTTTGCAGGAATTATGAATATGTCATGTATGTCCTATCTTTGAAATTTAAACGTTAGCAGTGTCCTCATATTCAAATTATGCAAGGAAACCCGTTTACTTGCTAGACTTCACTGTCAGACACTATTAAGTGACTGACTGGCTTTTTTTCTTCTTTGGTAATAACATACATGAAAAGAGTTGTAAAGGGTACATGAGCATTTGTCTACATCAATAACCCACTTCTTGTGATGGCCAAGATTAAACTGATTGAATCTTTGCGCAGCATAAAACGTATGACCATTCGGTACAATTGTCTGAAAATCAAGACTATTACTTTTGGGCTCTATAGCCCTAAAGTCGATTTGACAACTAATAGTCGTTATTTTCCCACTTGAAGACATTTTCAAGCCCCACCTTTTTGAGGGAAGTTCTAAATTAGTATTATCTTTCAAATGCAGTTGGAATTTAACTTTTTCATTTTTTTGGCCTGCAAATGGGACATAGTACCTTTAAAGAAAAGTACAAGACAACTACTGCTCCATGCACACTTTCACTTTCACTTTCCCAGACGGGGAAATGCAAGCACAAATCTATTTCTAAACGCTCGAAAAGGTTGAAAACTTTCAATCAGAAGAGCAAAGTTTATTGTATAAAGAAAGAAAAACATACTGGTACCTACACTGTAATGGCAATGCTTATCTTTTATATACATAGCAATAATGTTGAACAAAATTTGATCTTAAAGCAATGTTTCACAAAGCATTTGCTTTTTCTTGCTGTCTTTGAAACTTAACATTGATTTTCTTTAACAATGTCCCCCAAACACCATCTATAAAATGAGAATTTCAAATACACTGAATTATCACAGAGTACATGGAGGCATACTTGTACACATGTAGATTTCATGGGTGAAAATGACCAAGCCTGCAACTGGTACACAGAAACATTACGGTAAATGCATCCTGTTTACCCCACATTTGCACCAAGCAATCCCTTTTTGGAAACGCCCCCCTCTCAAAAAATGAAATGGAAGCTTTTATTACCAATAATGTGAAAGAATATGTTTTGACTAATACGTACATGTAATGATACAAATTTTGCAGAGAAACCGCCTACTAATTGATATATTTGGTAAAGTATTATATCTATTTGGACCTGATAGATATAAGGCACGTGTCACACACGTGTCGCGTAGTCCCATATACATCTTTCTGTGTACTTTACCAAGACTGGGCCAAATTTCTTATCATTTTGATGATTCCAGAACCTTGCAGCACACACCAATACTTGTATGATACATGTAGATGATCAATCTTTTCTGATCGATTCCACATCGTTTCTTTCACAATGCAATCGCATGACCAGAACTCAACTTTATCTTTAAAGGTACTATGTCCAATTTGCAGGCCAAAAAAATGAAAAAGTTAAATTCCAACTGCATTTGAAAGATTAGATAATGCTAATTTAGAACTTCCCTAAAAAAGTTGGGGCTTGAAAATGTCTTCAAGTGGGAAAATAACAACCATTAGTTGTCAAATCGACTTTAGGGCTATAGAGCCCAAAAGTAATAGTCTTGATTTTCAGACAATTGTACCGAATGGTCATACGTTTTATGCTGCGCAAAGATTCAATCAGTTTAATCTTGGTCATCACAAGAAGTGGGTTATTGATGTAGACAAAATACTCATGTACCCTTTACACCTCTTTTCATGTATGTTATTACCAAAGAAGATAAAAGCCTGTCAGTTACTCAATAGTGTCTGACAGTGAAGTCTAGCAAGTAAACAGGTTTCCTTGCATAATTTGAATATGAGGACACTGCTAACATTTAAATTTGACAGATAGGACATACATGACATATTCATAACTCCTGCAAAGTTCTACAGAATTTGAGGTTGGCTGCAAAAGGGACATAGTACCTTTAAAGGAAACCCAGACAAGAAAAGTACAAAACTGGGAAGTGTGCATGCATGAACCTACAGAAAAGTATAGCTTGTAGAGAATGGGTTCCAGGGAGAGGTGGAGAAATGACCAGGGTGGCGTTTCACAAAACTTGTCATCAGTGACAATGACAGTTCTTGTTATAAGCTACTGAAATCCTTGCTCCTGATTGGTTGTCAGCAGATTTGTCACTGATTTTTGTCATTTATCATTGAAAAAAGGCTTTGTGAAACGGGTCCCAGGACAGAATATGTTTACTTTTATTAGAGAGAAGTACATAATCAAATGTGCGAGGGCAGTAATTTGACAGATAATTGTATACGAGTTCAATGAAATTTGAGACAAATACAGAAAGAAAAAAATAAAGAAAAAGAAATACACTAAAAGGAAAAAGGAAGAGGAAGAGGAATAACGACCCAATAAATAGCTGAGTATCCACCTATTTTCACCACATGTATCCACCACCTGAACGTCTATAAAACCGAACACTAGAAGTCATGAATTCTTAATTCCTTCCCTGATAAAATTCACTTGCGTCACAGAATCATGCATAGAATTGCAGTGAATTGTAAAATGGTAGACGTTATCTAAAGGAAAAAAAGAACATTAAATATTCAAAAATTCATAAATTCCTTATTAGTTATTCAATTTTTCTCAAACCTGTTTTGCTCTGTGTCTCTTGTTTTTCTACATCTATTAAAAGCAAATTATTTTTGGAGTGGACTTGGACTTTAATGCCAAAGTTACCTGAACATCTCAATTTTGGACCAATATTTCACCAAAACATTTCTAGGATATTTAATACATTTACAGTAGCATGACAAATTCCCAATCATCTTTCTTGGATATTGATACATTACCAAAATTTACTGTCAGATTAACAAAGTTTAGAAATAGGTTTCAGAATTCTGTTAAAAGTCATATGTTGAGCTTGACAAATTCCCAATTATCTTTATTGAATATTGACATAGCCCAATTTTTTATACATTACCAAAATTTACTGTCATATAAACAAAGTTTAGAAATAGGTTTCAGAATTCTGTTACAAGTCATATGTTGAGCATGACAAATTCCCAATCATCTTTTTGGAAATTGACATACATGTAGAACACTTATTGGTACATAACCTACATGTACACATTAATGTCAGATTAACAAGGTTTGTATGTTAAGTATACTTTTTAAAATTATCGATTGCAATAGCGAATTCATTTTAATCATTAATATTTTTCCTTCTGCACTTGTACCAAAATACTTTGTTTTATAGTTACATGTATATTAAAGGGGGTAGGCATGACTACATGTACCACATGTGCTATACCAACCAATAGTTTCTCTTCTTTTAATGTATCCTGCCAATATTATTGTATGAAATGTATGACTGTATTGCGGTTGGTAAATAAATCAAATCAAATCGAAATCAAATATTGATTTTCTGTTTTTCCTTGTGTCACAATTGCTCCTACAGAGTTCTGAGCAATTAGCTTACAACACAACAAGTGTTGCTCACTGGGAAGCCAATTTAGCAGCCCAAAATGCATCCACCCAGGAAGAAGCCGTCAAGAAAATTATGCAGAATTCAGTCAAGATCACGGACGCAGAGACCAAAAGCACGTGCCAGCGGAGGAACAACATCGGTTTCTTCAAGATGCACAAGTGCGGGAGTAGCACCGTGCAGAATATATTGATGCGGTACGGCATTCGGTACGATTTGAACTTCGTGCTGCCGCCATCTGGGAACTACCTGGGACAGACGTACTTCAACAGGCGCTTCATGATGACCTTTCCGGTCCACGAGTACAACATTCTCTGCCATCACACGCGCTTCAGCAAAGAAGGTACGGTGTACACACTATGAATACGACGGACAAAGAAAGAGGACAAAATATACAGTTCTTCATTCTACCCTCAGCAATTGCTGGTAGACAAAGGAACATCCCTTCACTGCTTTTATGTAAACATGTGTAGAACAGGTATCACATGCATATTTACCTGTTCTATGCATTTTTGTCTCCCTTGCATAGCAAAAAGCGAGACATAGGCGCCGCTTTTCCGGTGACGGCGGCGACGGCGGCATCAACATCAAAAACTTAACCTAAGGTTAAGTTTTTGAATTTTTGATATAATTTTTAAAGTATAAGTTCTTAGTCAATGAAACTTTGACTATAGGGTAATCAAGTATCCCCAATCATGTGAGTAGAATTTCAGGTCACTAAGTTAAGGTCAAAGGTCATTTCAGGTCAGCAGACTTGGACTATGTTGTAGCATTATCATCGAAAACTTAACCTATGGTTAAGTTTTTGAATTTTTGATATAATTTTGAAAGTATAAGTTCTTAGTCAATGAAACTTGGACTAGAGGGTTATCAAGTCTCCCCAATCATGTGAGTACAATTTCAGGTCACTAAGTTAAGGTCAAAGGTCATTTAAGGTCAGCAAACTTAGACTTTGTTGTGGCATCGTTATTTTTCAACCGATTTTGATTCTGATTGTTTCATATGATAGGGCTAGGAGGGGGATTTAAAATTTCTACACAGAATTGTGAAATTCATTATCTATGCTAATTTATGCAAATTTATTCGAAATCACAAAAAAGGCTTCTTATATTCTCCTTCATTTCTCCTTTTGATTTGGTTTGCTTTATATCGTAGAGCTAACATTTTGGTACACTAAACTTCTACACAGAATTTTGAAATTGTTCTCCATTAATTAATTATGGTAATTTATGCAAATTTATTCCAAAAATAACAAAAATTGCTTCTCTTCCCTCATTTCTTGACCGATTTTGATTTGGTTTGCCTTTTCTGGTAGAGCTAAATTTGGAACACTAAACTTCTACACAGAATTGTGAGATTTTGCTCCATTGATTATTTATGGTACTTTATGCAAATTGTCCTTTCCAGGGCATCAAATTTTTATTTTTTGACTAGTTCAAAAGTGTACCACATAAAATTTACGATATTTGTCGTTGCGAGATGCGGATGAGCGCTACGTCGTTGACGTTCTGGTTTATCATATTGAATTGCGTTATGCAGGCGAGACCCCCGAGAGCGTTTCCCTTGTTACATAATAGCAGTGAAGGATGTTCCTTTGTCTACCACAGCAATTGCTGAGGGTAGGATGAGGAACTGTATATTTTGTCCATCATGTTCATAGAGACAGTATGTTATAATACAATAGAGATAAGATTCATTATTTATTTATCTATTTATTTATCATTATTTTTAAAACTTAAGATTGATTTATGCATTCATTCTTTCATTCCTTCAATTATTTACTTATGAATAATATATAAATTGAAATATAAACAAATAAATAAATTTATATACTTGTATAAATAAATAGAAAATGAAAAAATATACCTATTCATTTTTATAGCCTAGTAGTAGTAGCTGTCTGTCACAAAGTGACAATGACCGCCTTCTCTTTCATGAAGGCTGCTTGCAAAGGTGGGTAAGTAAGTACAGGTACATGTAGCTCTTGCAAGTTACTAACGGCACTCTCTCGGGGAACTGGTGGCAGTTAACTTTACAGCTATCTACTAGCTGTGTGTGAAAAGGCTGCTAGTCAATTTAATACACCCTAATTCATTACAATAAATCAATTATTAAGAATCAAGTACAGGAGTGCTTTTAAACATCATATACGCCGAACACAATTTTTGACCTTCAGTAAATAGAGCTGATTAATAAAGAACAAAAGCTAGACAATTAAGGCGTTGGTCGTCCCGGTATACTGTCCAAACAAAAGACCATGTGCAAGATGTTCACTGCAAAATCATTCAAGCAACGGACTGGAGCAAGGTAAATTCAGCCTTTAGTGCTGGTGTGATCACCATGCCATTGTTGAGCACAAAATAGTTTTGAACCAGGGACCCGTTTCACAAAGCCTTTTTTCAATGACAAATGACAAAAATCAGTGACAAATCTGTTGATAAGCAATCAGAAGCAAGGATTTCAGTAGCTTATAACAAAAACTGTCATTTGTTACTGATGACAAGTTTTGTGAAATGCCCCCCAGCACAGAGGTGCTTTTGCAGTTTAGGTTTTTCATCATGTTCATACAGTATAGCAACATGTGATGAAACAGTAAAAAAAAAAAAACGTGTTTTTCCTTGTGTGTAAATGCTCCTCATTCTTGAGATGAGAGATAGTGGTGTTAACCCAGGACCAAAATCCAGTTGAAACCAATTGGAGCAAAAGCAATTGAACAATTGAACCAATTGAACCAACTGGTTCCAATTGAAACCAGTTGAAACCAATTGCCAACTGGTTCCAATTGAAACCAGTTGAAACCAATTGCCAACTGGTTCCAGTTGCCTAATTGGTTTCAACTGGAACCAGTTGTTCCAATTTCCCTATTGAAACCAGTTGGCTTCAATTGGTTTCAATTGGTTTCAACTGGTTTCAATTGGTTTCAACTGGTTTCAATTGGTTTCAATTGGATCCAATTGAAACGTACAGTTGGCATAAAATTAATAAGTTAATTAGCTTTTGCACTAATTATCGCTCATGTCAACACAGAAGCATTGTTATATGTGTCTACATTAAGTACAATGTAAAGGGCATTATAATATGCAGACCATATAATATACTTAGCAAGGAAGGCATTGCCATTATATATGTTTGTATTTGATGTATTTTGTACATGGTTAGTGTTTTACTAATCAACTTTTAATCTGTGTAATTACAAAAGTATGTTACTAATGAACATGCTTATCATTGCTAATTAATCTTTATATTTATCTAAAACAAATGCATTACTTGCAAATGAAAATTAATTAATAAGTACATTGTAAATCAAAATAAATTATATAAAACATTGATCTGCACACAAGCAGATAATATGCAAATTAACTGGTTTCAATTGGATCCAGTTGGGTAACTGGAAATATTTCCAATTGGAACCAATTGTGTAACTGGAAATGAATTCTAACTGGAACCAGTTGGGTAACTGGAAATTACTTCTACCTGGAAATGAATGCTTACTGGAACCAATTGGGTAACTGGAAATAAATGCTAACTGGAACCAGTTGGGTAACTGGAAATAAATTCTAACTGGAACCAGTTGGGTAACTGGAAATGACTTCTGTTTGTTTGTTTGATTGATTTTATCTAACTGGAAATGACTTCTAACTGGAAATGACTTCTAACTGGAAATGAATGCTAACTGGAACCAGTTGGGTAACTGGAAATGAATTTTAACTGGAACCAGTTGGGTTACTGGAAATTAATTCTAACTGGAACCAGTTGGGTAACTGGAAATGAATTCTAACTGGAAATGAATGCTAACTGGAACCAGTTGGGTAACTGGAAATGACTTCTTACTGGAACCAATTGGGTAATTGGAAATGAATTCTAACTGGAACCAGTTGGGTAACTGGAAATGACTTCTAACTGGAACCAATTGAGTAACTGGAAAAATTACCTTACATGGTTCCAGTTGCACTTCTTATTGGTTTGAACTGGAAATGAGTACCCATAACGAAATTTTCCAGTTCGGCAATTGGTTTCAACTGGAAATTTTATATTCCAATTGAAACCAATTGAAACCAATTGAAACCAGTTGAAACCAATTGAAACCAGTTGGAGATTTCAACTGGTTTCAATTGGATTTTGGTCCTGGGAAGGTAGTGACTTTAAAGGGATCGTTTAACAATGTTAAATCTGAGATACACGGCCCTACATGTTATCAGTGTCTGTGATGTGGTGTAATATTGAAGCCCTAAAAGAATTGCGCTTCAAAATGATCAAGAAGTGCCTCAAAAAAGTAAAAATCTTTGAATGACCGGTTTTACCATACTCGTTTTTCCCATTAGACTGTAGTGTTATGAAAACCGTCAGGCGAACGGTTTTCAAAATTTGTAATTCCAATCATAAATATCTTGATAATCAGACAGGCGATCGGCTTGTAAAAGTCATGGGGTTCCTGACTGACCTAAAGGTTTATAATTATCATTGCATCATGAGCTAAATCCAAAATTTTGTTTCAGAATCTGAGACAGTTACCCGGATCCCTTTAATGCTAGATGTACAATTAAAGATAATCTGAAAATTTGAGTGGAAACGGAAGATTATTAATAATACAAATTGGGAAAAACTGATCTGATTGATTCCTTAATTCTCCCAAGTATATTATTACAATCTAATTACATTTTAGGTGAATGTAAATTGTAACAAAGCAATAAATTGGCTCTACATGTACAGTACATGTACATACCACTCCAGACATTTAAGTGTCGACAGATTTTAAAGATAAAGACCAGTTATGGTCATGCGATTGCATTGTAAAAGAAACATTTTGGAATCGATCAGAAAAGGTTGATCATCTGCAAGGTTCTGGAATCATCAAAGTGATAAGAAATTTGGCCCAGTCTTCGTAAAGTTACAAGCACTGTACACAGAAAGATGTATATGGGACTACGCACACGTGCACGACACGTGCGTTATATCTCTCACACACCAATAGATAAACTAATTTACCAAATATATCAATTAGTAGGCGGTGTCCAGGCAAAATTTGTATCTTCATGTATTAGTCAAAACATATTCTTTCACATGATTGTCCTATCTGTCAAATGTAAACGTTAGCAGTGTCCTAATATTCTAATTATGCAAGGAAACCCGTTTACTTGCTAGACTTCACTGTCAGACACTTTTGAGTGACTGACTGTTTTTTTTTTCTTCTTTGGTAATAACATACATAAAATGAGCTGTAAAGGGTACATGAGCATTTGTCTACATCAATAACCCACTTCTCGTAATTGCCAATATTAAACTGATTGACTCTTTGCGCAGCATAAAACGTACGACCATTCGGTACAATGGTCTGAAAATCAA